AACTAGAGAAAAAGGCGTGGTCCTGTTTATGTAACCCAGATGCTTTTGTTAAGGAAGGAGTAAGAGCCAGTGCTTGTAACTGCTTGTGGGCATCAATGTAGAAGGGTCCACAGTCAACAACAGTAGATGTTTGTTGGGTGGTTTGGCAGAATAGATGAAACGCAAGTGAACTTTTCACTGTAAGTGTGTGTGTGTGTGTGTGTGTGTGTGTGTGTGCACGCGCATTACGCGCAATTGTGCTGGAAACAGGGTCTCCCTCTGCACCCCAGGCTGGCCTCGAACTTTATCTTCCTGCCTCAAGGTCCACAGTGCTGGGATCTCGGGCTGGTGCCACCACATGGGCTTTTATATTTTCATTTTGAATTCATTTTGCTGACCCAAAACCAAAAGTTTTATAAACCTGAACCCTCAGGCTAAGGCGGTGGAGGAGGGTGGGGTCCCCATCTCGTCAGTTTCACTGGATTGCCAATCCCCTTCCCCTCCCCACTGGTGCTGGTGGAGTTGGGGTACAGTGGCAGGTTGTCACCCACCCACACTAGGCAGCATCCAGGGCCTTCTGGGGGGGAATTCCCCTGGCTGTGGGTCTGACAGTGATGCACCGCAGAGCATGCTGGGTGTATGTCAGTTTCCTGGGTGCAGCCTCCCACGGTGACAGATGCTGTGTTCATCTTGCCTGGGCTCAGATTTCAAGTCCAAAGCTGGGAGGGGGTTTGGAGGTTACACTCTAGGGGAACATGATACCTGGGGCCCCTGGACTTTGGAGAGCTCCTAGTGGTCTTTGAAAGTGGCTGGTGCAATCTGGGCACTTTTACCCACTTGGCAAATACTCATGGACCAGGGTGTGAGGAGGTGAGAACTTAGAGGCGACCAGAGAGGCCAGTATGCACAAGCAGGGTGCACAGCACACAGACCAAAGCCCTGGGTGGGAAGATGGACAGGGAGCTCAGAAGGTGCCAGCCATGCGACAGTTAGTGGCAAGAGCATTTTTAGGGGAGGAACAGCAGGTGCCAAGGCCCTGTGGTTGGAGGCAGTTGGTGCCAGTCAAGGAGAATGGTAAAAGACACAGCAGTCCTCGAACTCAGGTTGTGCTGAGCCCAACTTCAGGGTTGTGCTTGGTATGTGACCTTGGGCAAATTTCTTATGCTTCCCATGCCTCAGTTTACTGGCCAATCATAGCTAGCATTAGAACTTTCTGTGGAGTTGCTTGAAAGGGTTACAGTATCTATGAAGTACTGAGTACAGGCACAAGTACTGATTACTCTGTTAAACGTAGTTGTGTGCCCAGTGCTTCCAGCCACATTGAGCTAAGTCTTGATCCCGTTTTGTCCCTGCCGTGTGACCCTGAGCAAGTCACTGTGTCTCTCTGAGCCTCAGTGCCACAGCTGGGCCCATGAGCTGTACTCGGGGTTGCAGGGAGATGCTGAACTTGGAGTGGGGTTTTGTGAGATTTGAGAACTTTCGAGATGCGTTTCTGACAAGAGGAAAGAGCCGCGGGCTGGAGAGCCCCAGGCTGCACCCCAGATCTCTGACTCCAATGCTGAGCACTTTAAGAGGCTCACTGGGTCTTTGTCAAAGTCCTCCAGGGAAGGTTGTGGTACATCCGTTTCCCAGATGAGTAAACTTAGAGGTAAAACATCTTGCCTACAGCCACCAGCCAGGAAGTGGAGTGTGTGTGTGTGTGTGTGTGTGGGGGGGGGTTATGAGAGTTTCCCAGCACCTGTTCTGCTTCAGCTGCCTCTCAGACCCCTAGGGGCACAGCAGGGGTAGGAAAAGACTGCCTAGGTTTTCTCCCCTCACCTCAAGACCTTTGCATATGCTGTTCCCTCTGTCAGGTACACTCTGCATTTTGGTGTGTATTTTGCTATTTATATATGAGAACTCTTCTGTCACCATCTCCTAGGTCAAGGTTTCAAATCTTGCTGGGCATGGTGGCATTTAATCCCAGCACTCAGAAGGCCTTTGATCCCATCACTCAGGAGGCAGAGGCAGGCAGATGTCTGTGAGTTCAAAGCCAGTCTGGTCTACATAGTGAGACCCTTTCTCAAAACAACAACAAACAACAAAAAGACTTCAAATATTTTCTATCTGTCCTGTCTCAATGCAAAGCCAGTTCCCTCCGCTGTTGCTTCCTTCCAAAAGTCTCCATGCCTGGCTGCTCTCATTCAGCCTCTGTGGACACATCCCTGGCCCCTCGGCCTCCAAAGCTCCTGCATCCACCCTCATCTCCATCTCGTTAATTGCTCCCCTGGAAAACTGGAGTCAATGTACCCTACTCCCCTATGCAGTTGCTGGTCTGCAGTTTGATCACAAGAATCTCCCAGAGACGGGGGCGTTGCTGGGAACTTTATAACCCAGAGGGCATCACTGGTGGGGCCGAGGCCACCCTCTCCTGCAGGCCATGCCAGCGCTGCCAGCTTAACTGTGGCGAGGCCTGCTCCAGCACAGAGCCACCCCAACCAAAAATAGGCCTGAACAGGAGCTCACCCACACAGGGGCACCACAGGGCTGCACACCCACCTCCCTCCGCAGCTTAGAACGCTCTGTGATTGATGAACAACACAAGCCTCTTTCCTGAGCCAAGTCAGCACCCACTTAGAATGTTCCCTGACTAGGCCTGAGGGTCTTGGTCTCTCCTCCAGGAGCTGCTTCAGGCCAGGGCTGTGACTCTCCGGATGCTGAGCTAACCTGGGGGGCGGGGTCCCTACTCCCTGGCCCCCAGTCCCTGCCCTACTCCTAGGGTTATGATGGGAGCCAGAGAGGAGGATGCTGGGAAAGGCAGAGGATCTCTGTTCTTTGTCTACCAAACAGCTCTCCAGGCCTGTGGAGAAACCAAGACGCTGCCGGAAGGAAGCAGATCCTCCAAGAGCTCAGACCTCATGGCCAGCATTGGCCAGCACCGCCATCTGTCAGGTGCCAGGCAGAGCCCAGGTATCCAGAACAGGGATTCTGAGCTCCTGGAGGTGCTATGGGATCACTGCTGGCCCATTGCGTGGATGCGGATGGAGCGGTTGACTGGGGGCATAGACATAGGAAGGCAGAGTCAGGGAGGCCTGTGAGCCAAGGTCGACTTAGCTCTCCCTCCTAGCTCTAAGTCCACCCCTAGGAGGCCTCTTCTTGAGCGGTAGTCTTTTTACACAGTGCTAGGGACCGGAGCTGCACCCACAACCCTTTAATCTTTTGGTTCGAGACAGTCTCCCTACATGGCCCACACTTGTCTTGAACTCACGACCCTCCTGCTTCAGTCTCCCAGTGCTGCTGTCATAGACTTGTACCATCATGCCCAACTTGTGTCATAGTCTGTAAGTTGTCACACACCATAGTCTGAGTGTTTACAGGCCCTGGATGAGGGTGGGGGGACAGGTAGATTCTCCACCCTTTGGAAGTTCAAGGTCTTGGGGTACAGGAGGAGGCTGGGATGAGGCACAGCTAGCTCCCCTCTCTTCAGCATCTGCTAAGAGGTGAGGGCTGCTGGCCAAAGCCACTAGATCTTTTCTGTCCCCTTGCAGTGGCCACCCATGGCTTTCACTCTGGGAACCCTGGAAGCCCTGAGTCCCTTGCAAGGCCATGGACCCTACAGCTCTCCATAGGCTCCAAAACAGGGACATTAGACATGGCCTGCACCTTGGTAAGAAACAAGGAGCTGGTGCCGTAGCACATGCCTGTCATCCCAGCACCCAGAGGCCAAGACAGAGGCCACAAAGGGCTACAAAGGAAAGAACTTGTCTTTAGAAAACAGGGGGCATGATTAAAACAGTTACTTTTTTTTTTTTTTTTTAGAAAATTGAAAACCAGTGACTTCTTGTCAGGGGACAGAGTAGGGAGTGGGGTCTGGGTGGACCCATCTTCCTTCAGGCTGAGCTGGGTGTAGTGTCTCCAGTACCCTCAGCC